TGTGTAAGAATTATTTGTTATTTGTGATTATCCACGCTCAATCCACCTGAGCTCATATCAGAATGGCCCTGTCTCTAGATGTATAGTAGCAGTGTATCAGGGTGGAGAGGATAGAGTGGCTGGAACATTTAGTGTTTTCCTTCTGCATGGCATCATTCTTTCAGGACTGAGAGAATGTTTATTCCACATATGAGCCAGTCAGGGGTCAAAGGGGCTGGAGGAGGGGTGCACTTGACCAGTTTGAAGTCTGCTAGTGAGCTCCACCCTTGGTCTCTGCAACTGTGGGAGAGGCTGTGTCCCCCGGGGTTTCTGTTAGCTCCTGGACAGGAAGCCCAGGCTTTTGGCAGTTCTCTTCTGACCTAACGGATGCCTCCTTCTCCTACCTGTACCCCACCAGGGACTGCGTCGCCCTTTGCATCCTCAACAGCGGCACCAGCTTCGTGGCTGGGTTTGCCATCTTCTCCATCCTGGGCTTCATGTCTCAGGAGCAAGGTGTGCCCATATCTGAAGTTGCTGAGTCAGGTGAGTGTTCTGGGAGGTTGAGGACAGGTAGACCTTTGGCAACCAGGATCCAGAGTGAACGCTGAAAATCTTTCCAATTTGGGGGCATTTCAAATTTTTAGAGCAGGGAAACCTAACTGTATGGGTCTGTATAAATATTCCCAAATGAAGTAAACCTCCCAAGCACTTTCGGTAAAGGACATTGAAGCAGTGTATGGCACATGCCATGTAGCGCATCTGGCTTGTACTCGGAGGTGTAAACCATGTGAAGCGGATAGCAATACTATCCTGGCTCTTCTAGTGTGGGAACTGGGTCCCAGGTCCCAGGGTACCCTTGGCTTTTCAGAGGACACTTCCTATGGCTTAACCAGGCTTTGGCAGGTGAATTTGTTCTTGCCGTCTGAATCAGCTTAGACGGGCAGCCATTTGACGGTAAACGTGCCAGTGGGTTCCTTTGACTCTGGTTCAGCCATGATAGGGACAGAAAAGGCTTTGAGGTAGCCACAGTGAATTGCAGGCCCAGACCAAATCCAGCCCCGGGTATTCCCTTTACTGCCAGCACAGTAAAGCAACGACCCTTCCCTCTCTAGTGTTCCACAGGCCCCTCCCATTTTCTCTTACTTCCCTCCAGGTTAGCTTCACGGATTTCTTCGGCCTGCCGGCCCCTGGACCTCGTTCTTAGCTTGAGACCCTTGATTTGAGGCAGTAGATCTGGGGGTCTAGAGCCCTTGTGGGACCCAAGTTTCTTCACTGCTAGGGTTTCTAGGTTCTCTTCTTGCCGTAATACGTTAGGGTGGTGCCTTGGACGCTGGGGGCCAAGTAGAAACTTGGGTGGCTTGTGTCAGTATGTGCTGGTGATGACGGCTTTGGGGGGCAGCTTCTTCCAGCTCTGTCATTCCATGGCCCCATCCTGGGAGGCCCTGGGGTTGCAGAGGCCTGGAGCTGGCTCAGGCTCTGGGCTGTGTTCCTCTGCTCCCGCTGCAGGCCCTGGCCTGGCTTTCATCGCCTACCCTCGAGCCGTGGTGATGTTGCCCTTCTCACCCTTGTGGGCCTGCTGTTTCTTCTTCATGGTTGTTCTCCTGGGACTAGACAGCCAGGTACCAAGGTGGCCACCCCAAGTCTGCGGGACGCGCGGGTGGAGAGGGCAACGGCTGAGTTTATGCCCCGCGAGACCTGGGATAGTTGGGGACTGGGTGGATGTCAGAGGTGGATCCCTTTCCAGGGACCTGGAGGAGCTTTCAGGGTGGCGTCACCTCACACCCACATACAGGGATAACTGCTCTGAGGGCCGGAAGGGGAGGCTGCCGGCTGGAAGGAAGCTGGAGTTGGCTGACAGGGCTTGCTCTGGGAGCTCCCTTTCCCCTACTTTCTCTTACCCTCTCATTCAGTTTGTATGCGTAGAAAGCCTGGTGACAGCGCTGGTGGACATGTATCCCAGGGTGTTCCGTAAGAAGAACCGGAGGGAAATCCTCATCCTTATAGTGTCTGTCCTCTCCTTTTTCATTGGACTGATCATGCTCACAGAGGTGAGAGTCTGGGAGGCTAGATGGGGACCTCATTAGGAGCCAAACAGACAATGACACCTTCCGGGAAGGACCACAGGATAGGCCTCCTGGCTGTTAGCCCCCCACAGAATGAATGGTTGAGGGGTAATTTGGCTCTAGGGCAACAGAGAACAGATGGAGAGGATGGATGGGAAATCTTAGAGTGGGAAAGCTAGCTCTCTGGTGGGATCCCATGCGTCCCAGGAATGACCTCAAAGGGAAAGAGGTTCTATGGGGATGGGTGGTCTTCTGCCAGCGTCCCACTGGAGAAGACAGATGACAGAACCCATCAGCTTGACTATCCTTCCTCAAAAGACTGGACACACTGTCGGGAGCCTTTAGGTCTAGCCCTGAACAGGCTCAGGGGCAACAATAACCGCTCTCTGATCATGCTCTCCATCTTCCATCCAGAAGCAATGATAAGAAACAGCTGCTGCCTATGGCTGTTCGGGGCTTCAGGCCTTAAAGCTCTCTTGTCTTATACTTCTGTCTGTGAGCTTCACCACCTCTGTCCCGCTGTGAGGCACGGGATATAGGGGTCATAGGGGTCGGCCCTTCTCTGCTTCCTCCCAATGATCCTCTCCCACACAGGGCGGCATGTACGTGTTTCAGCTCTTCGACTACTATGCAGCCAGTGGCATGTGCCTTCTCTTCGTGGCCATCTTTGAATCCCTCTGTGTGGGTTGGGTTTATGGTGAGTGGCTTCTGCCCTGGGCCCAGAGCCTGGCACACCCTTCCATGTCAGCACTCTCAGACAGAAGGGAGACATCTGCTGCTCACACTCACGTTTTCTGTCGCAGCTGTGCCTAGAGCATCTGGAGGGTCCCTATCCTGTCCTGTCCCAATGCTTTAGCAGCTTCAGTGTTGATGTTGTATATGCCCGCAAATCCTAGCCAACCGCTTTCTCCCAGCCATGCTTCCAAAAGGCAACTGTGCCACTTGTCTGGTTGTCCATGCCCAACCTAGTCTGCTTGGCTCCATTCCAACCCTGCACAGCCTGAAATGTGTCTTCTGTCCTTTTTCCTTCCCCCGACAGGAGCCAGCCGCTTCTATGACAACGTTGAGGATATGATTGGGTACAAGCCGTGGCCTCTTATCAAATATTGTTGGCTCTTTTTCACCCCAGCTGTGTGCACGGTAACTGAACTCTCAAGGGGTAAAGGCAGGGGGCAGGGTGGAGGCGGATTGTGGTTGCAGCGGAGTGGAGGCCCATAGTTCCTTAGGCCTTGGACAGCATCTTAGATTTTCATCCATCCTCTCACTAGGTAAGATAGGAAGAGAACTTCCTCCTTTCCCTTCACAGAGGATTCCCCTAATCACAGAGGGATTAATGGAGGTTCAAGGCTGTCTGATGAGTTTACCAATAGCACAGCTAGAGGCCGATGTCCCAGATAGGACGGGAATGCAATGTTAGGCTGCTCAGAATCATGCTTGTGAGCACAGCAGCAGGTTCACAGAGTGCCCGACACACACACATCTCAGCGACACATGGGAAAAGCGTCAGCTCTACCCTCACTTTATAGACAAAACAGTCTCCACGGGTGAAGCACCCACAGGATCTAGGATGTTCCAGAGAGTTAGCACTTCCTGAAGCTCCTACCGTATGCCTGATGTGAACTAGGAGGGTAGAGGGAGACTGGAGTCCTCACGGCTGACTCTTGGTGCAGGAGATGGCACACAGTTATGTCCTAACTAGAGCTGACTGAGGGCTTTGCAGTGACAGGGGATGTACACTGGAAATAGCTACCCAGGAGTGGACTTTGAGCAGAATGTGGGTGGAGCTTGGAGACTGACTGACCTAGATAAGCAGCATAGCCTGCTGGGAGAACAGCCCCTTCCAGGTAGCTGTGGGGGTGGGATGGGGGGGGGCGGGGGGCGGAAGGCACCGGGCCCCAACACCAACCTCTTTCTCCTCCATTTCACTCCAGGCAACCTTCCTGTTCTCCCTGATCAAATATACACCGCTGACCTACAACAAGAAGTACACGTACCCATGGTGGGGGGATGCCCTGGGCTGGCTCCTAGCTCTGTCCTCCATGATCTGCATTCCTGCCTGGAGCATCTACAAGCTTAGGACTCTCAAGGGCCCACTCAGAGAGGTAGGAGGAAGGCAATGAGGGCCAGGAACCTCACTGGATGAGTAGATCTTGGATGGGAGGCGGGTTGCTTCCCATGGGAGCTGGTGTATAAAGGGACCCCCCTGCCTCCAGCCTGGTGTGGGTACCAGGGCTCCAGGGAAATGGTACTTGGGAGTCTTAAAAAAAAGGGACCCAGAATAACTGCAAGAGCCACGCTGTGACTGTAGGGTTGGCAGCTGGAAGCAGGTTTACAGTAGGGAAAGCAGATGGACATCAGTAATGAGGGACACTGGCTGGCACCCCTCCTCTACCATGACAACTATCTCTGTCTTTTCAGCGGCTCCGACAGCTCGTGTGCCCAGCTGAAGACCTTCCCCGGAAGAACCAACCAGAACCTACTGCTCCTGCTACACCTATGACATCCCTCCTCAGGCTCACAGAACTGGAGTCTAACTGCTAGAACCAGGGCCTTTGACATGCCTGTGAGCCTGGCCTTGGGGACAGCTATAGGAGCAGAGGGCAGAAGCACCCCTCTGTGCTGGGGCAGATAAGACAAGAGGGGGTATTTGGGACCCACCTTCTGAGCTGGGTCCCTACTATCTCGACTCCCCTATTCCAGGGTGGTCCAAACATTGTGACATGTCCACATCAGCAACACCCCTTTGAGGCAGCTTGGGAAGCCCTGGGGAGGGGAAGGCCTAGCTGGTCGCTGGGCCCTCTTCCCTCCATGCCATTAAATCCAACTTCCTCCCACAACTGCTTGCCAATATGCCTGGTTTCTGCCCTCTGTTTGTGCCTTGCCCCCCTCTTCATCATGAAAATGTGGCTCTCGGGTCCTGCCTCTCCCTAGCTCTCCATCCTTACTGAGTTTTTATTGGTTCACATAGCAGCTATGACTGCTGTGGTGGAGCAGGGGGAGGCGAATGATGGGGCCAGGCCAATGTCCTCCATCACACATTTGAACTGAAGAAAGCCGCCCCCCTCTCTCCACGCTTTCCTGAAGTGTCATGTGTGGTCCTGCCTGGTCCCTACCCCAACTTCTCACTACTGTTCCACCCTCCCCTCCCTTGTCTCCATGATAGGATTTAAAAAGGGAGATGGAGGAAAGGACAAAGAAGGCCAGGCCCTGGTTATAAGATGGAGGAAGACAGACTGGTTACAGTTTCTTTCTGCCCACGTGACCCTGGTGGTGACCCTGCCCGCCCTGCTGGTCAACACTGTTGGCTGTGTGCACCCATGGGCTGATGCAGGTTGAGGGAAGGTGGCCAGAAGGGCCTTGCAGAGGAAGCCCTGCCCAGACTCTGCCAGCAGAGGGATCCACTTCCTTCAGACAGCCTCATTCTCACCTAGCAAGAGGTTTGGACACAGGGTCACACATCTGTCACTTCTAGATGTGACCACAAGGGGGTGGCACTGTCATGTGCTCAGCCCTGAGTGTCAGAGATGAACCCTTAAGGCTAGGTTTCAAGAGAATAAGGCAGAAGGCAGGCAGAGCTGTAGGATGTTGCCTGGAGGCCAAAGCAAGGTCCCAGGTGCGCCTTAGCAACCGGCCGCCAAGGGGGTGGGAGGAGCGCCAGCTGCTGTTGTGTGTCAACGTGGATGAAACGTGCATTCCTCCCCAGCTAGCACAAGGTTTACCCGGGTCCTCTGGGGCTACTTGACTGGACTAAGTGTCTTGTGACTCTCTGAGCTGCTCAGGCATTCCGGGCAGTTTCTCAGCTTTTGACATGTCAGTTTCAAGAGAAATGTATCAAAAATATTTGCTAGTTTTCAATTTTCTGTCTTGTGTCTAAAGAGTCTGTAGAAATCAGGGACAGTGGTCCTCCTGTGTGGGGACATTGATTCTTTCTCCTAGGTGCCTTGGATACAGGCTTGGCCACAGTCCTGAGGGTGTAATGTGCCCAAACCCAGGATTCTATCACCTCACATCTCCATCCACCCAACCATGTTTCTAGAAGACGCATGCTACAGCGCTGCGCTGTATTTACCGCACATATGGGCAGAACCGGAATCCAGTCCATTCTTTTCTTTTTTTGAGACAGGGTCTCACTATGTGACCTTGGCTGGCCTGGAGCTTGCTTTGTAAAGCAGGTTGGTCACCTGTCTCTGCCTCTGAGTGCTGGGATTAAAGGTGTGCACCACCATGCCTGACCCAGAATCAGTTTCCTTGACAAATAAAGTGCTTTGAGGGGGAGTCATGGAGGGTGACTGGGTAGGCCACTCTGACAGGGAACTTGGGTAGGCCATTCTGAGAGTATGCTATCTGTCTCTCTGTCCCCTCGTTTGATCAAAGGTTTATAAATCTGTTGAGGAAATGAGGTGGTTCAGTGATGGTGAGCTGAGTCCCACTCATGAGAGTCACAAATGGTGAATAAATGGTGTGAAAACCGAGTGTTTTAGCTGAAGAACCAGGGAGCTGGTTCTGTCCCTGACTTGTGTTTACCTCATGACATGTCTTGGTAGAAACTCCTTGAAATTCATGTTCATTTTTCAGATATGGATAACACTATGTTCCCCACCCACACAGGCCTATTACAGGGTTCAAAGGAAGTCTGGGGCCCAAGGGTTCTTAGTCCAGTTTTGGGGATGGGTGTGCAGAAAAACACTGGCTATCCATGTAGGACTGACAGGTGGAAATGTGAGAAATGTGGCTGGTTGTGGGCAGGGTTGGCCAACACTGTTTTGTTTTTGCTTTTGTTTTGTTTTCAGACAGGATCTCAGTCTTAGTTTAGGGTGGCCTTGAACTCACAGAGATCCTCCTACCTCAACTTCCCAAGTTGAGATTACAGGAGTGACCATACCTAGGTATGGTCAGGGTTGGGAACCATGGTACTTGGCTTTGGCAGAGGGGAGCTGAACAGTGGAGGAGAACTGTGTCTACCTGGAAGGTCAGAGACTGGCTCCTTCAGTACCCCGAAGAACAAAACAGAGCAGGAAGGGGAGGCCGCACAGTTAGAGAAGGCTGTTAGGCAGGCAGGCGAGCCTGGAAAGTAAGAAGTGATCTCTGAGAGAAGAAGGCAGAAGCCTAGAGATACTGGAGCTAAGTGAATTTGTTAGGGGGTGAGGAAGAAGTAGCCCCAAACAGCCTGTGGTCCAATGTCCCTGCTCAGCACATTGTCCAGAAGTGGGGCTGGAGCCCTTCATGTCCTGTTCAGTCCCTGGTTCCAAGTGACCAGCATATGCTGTCCTAGCAAAGAGGATGAGTATGATCATTTTCTCCTGCAGCTGCACCATCTTCTTCCCTCTTTCCCTTCCTCTCTCCCTCCACCCATCCACCCACCCATCCAATCCAGGCCATGTATTAAATGCTGAGACAGCAGCAGAGACTCATGTGATGAGATGTGATGAGATTCCTGCTCATCAGCTGTTCATGATCTGGGAAAGGAGCCTGTGAGCGTGGGACCCAGAGGCACAGGTTCAGATCCCTGCTCCTGTACTTACTGTGTATGGACACAGGGTGAATTGTTTCACTTTTATTCACCCCAGCAACCTCCTCAGGAAAAGTCTTTCATATCCACAATGCAAGGCTCCTAAGGGAGGCAACACATGGTATACCCAGCCTGAGCTAGGAGCTCAGAAAATGGGCTCCATCCCGGGTCCCTATGAGCATACATGGGGTCAGAAAATGATTAATGCCAACGGGTCTTCCTGCAGCGAGGTTGTATATCCATTTCATCTCAGCTCTGGACAGCACTTTGCAGGTGTTTGCAAAGACATGATCTTTGGCTTCTTGAGTTTCGATTGCTCTGAAAAACAGGAGGGGGTTGGTGACTGTGGACACTGGGATGAGCTTGGTTAAGGGGAACCAACATTAAGATAGGGAGACAAAGGTCTGAGGTAGCCAGGTAAAGATGGGGAAGGATTAGGTAGAATCAGACTCTACTCACTGGGCAGAATGGGGAGAGACTGGGGCCCACAAAGCTGGCTACTTTGTTTTTCACAGACTCTGGTGTCTCCTGCGCATGAAGCATGAGGGGGTCACGACGGTGGCCCCAACGTGCAGGGACAGAGCAGACCCAGCAGGGCAGGCTGCGGCGTGCCAGCTGAGCATGGCGTGAGGTGTGTGGGTTCTGGCAGGCCATGACTTTTTCTTCCAGAGCTGCTCCCCAGCCCCCTTCTGGTTTTGTTGAGGTGAGGGGTTGAGAGTTGGACTCATTCTGGTTTTCCTTGATGGGAGACAGAGGCCAAGGGGGACCTGAGGGGTGGTGAGTGGGGTGCAGATGGAAAGTTACAGACTGCCAGTCTCATTTCACACCCTCTGCTGCTAGGAAGTTCTAGCAGACAAAGGGAAGTCCACATAAAGGGAAATTTCCCTTTCTCCCCACAACTTCCCCTGTTTCCACACCACCCGACACTGAAGAAGCATCTTGATCTTCCCAGAGGTCACAGGCCTTTTCATGTCCACACTGTGAAGACACACACACACACACACACACACACACACACACACACACACACACACACACACACACAGAGCCCTGTTTTGGAAAATCCTCCCATCATGGCTGAGGGGGACCACACATTCCCCATGTGGATTCACATTTGACAGCTGCCAGGCTGTTCCAGATGAGCCTTTGGTGTGTGGCTCAGTGCTGCCCAGAATCAGAGTGTCTGGATCCCCGAACCCCCGCCCCCCCCCCCCCCCCCCCCCAGAGTCTGCAGCAAACACCGACAGCTGCCTGTAAGTACCTGTGATTTTCTAGGCATGGCCATGCTGACTTTAACCCTCACAGCAACCCTGCAAACCACACATCATCCACTTGTCCAGAGTGGGAAACAGGCTCAGAATCTCCCTTGGCTGAGAGACCATGGTAAGGGAGGAGAGGAAAGTCAGGGTGGGTGGGCTGTGCCCTGGATCCTATTTGCATTTCCCTTCCTGAGATATGCAGGCTCTGGAGCTTTCTCTAGGAAAATCCCAAGGAGAGGGCAGTGGCTGCAAAGGTCTAGGGCTTTGCTGGGGAGCCACAGAGGGCAGGTACTCGGTGGAAAACTCCAGTGTGTGATTCACCCTCCTCCTATGCCCTCGTCACTCCCCTCCCAAGGTCCTCAGTGTCCAGCCTGGAAGTTGGTGGCTCCCATCCCACTGCTCTGGTAAGAGGGCCTGTACCCAGCCTAAGAAGGAGCCAGTATTGGGGTGGAGGTGAGAGTAAGGGTAAGGGGCTGAGAGCAGGACGAGAGAGGTCAGGGAGGTAAGGCTGCCCAAGGCAGCAGTTCAGCAAGGCTCTGGGGGTCTTGTCCTGGACAGTGCCTACTGGGAAGACACTAGTTAGGAGAGAGGGAGCTGGAGGGGACAGAGAGACAGGGTTAGAAAGCTTGACTTCCAGAGGGTAGATGTGTAATCCTCGTTTATAGACTTTTCAATCTCTCTTGTGGCTTGTGGTATTTTTCTGTCCTCTCTCTCTCTCTCTCTCTCTCTCTCTCTCTCTCTCTCTCTGTTTCTCTTTCTCTGTCCTCTCTCTGTCTCTGTCTCTTTCTATCTCTCTGTTTCTCTCTGTGTGTCTGTCTCTCTGTCAGTCTGTCTCTCTGTATCTGTCTGTCTGTCTGTCTCTCTCTCTGTCTCAGGACCACTGGGTGGGGCTGTGGCAGGGTGGAGCAGGAGAGCTGAAGGTGAAAATTCCTCTTCCAGGTCTGGAGACACTTACTCACTCGGGAGCAGGAGCTGAGCTGAGAGAGCAGGTGAGTGGGAAGCATGTGGAACAGCACTCAGTCAGAGTTCCACAGTGTCTGCACCCCTAGGTCTGGAGGACTGAGGGCTCCACCAGAGGCAAGACCTGGCAGAACTGTGTCTGGGCAGGAAGCAGGGAACTGCGGTCCTCTGAGGCCACAGGGAGGCCACCTTTGGGCGTGCTCCGATGCTATGCTACCAGTCCACTCACTATTCACACGGTGGAATTGCTCAGGGGCAACCTTGAGTAGTAGGAGAATCCACAGATGGGGAACTGGCCCTGAGCAGTGGGTGAAAGAGGCGGGTCATCGGCCTGCCAGGGGAGGGCGGTCAGTTCCCAGAGGCAGGAAGGGTGAGTGGATGGATCTGGAACTAACGGTCACAGGTTGGGGGCGCCTGCTCTCAGGCAGCCAAGGCCAGCAGCCTGAGCTCCTCTCAAAAGGGGAAGCCACCTGGGCTGGGACTGGGGCTGAGGAGGGGCCCAGGAAGATGTGGGCTACCACTGTGGAGCCTAGCTGCCTACCAGGTGTGAAGGGCTACGAGGAGCCAGGCTTTGGGGCCATGCACACAGGTATGTGTGTGCAAAGGGACGTGACGGAATGGCACCAGGGTGTGCAGGGGTGGGTGCTGGTATGTGGGTATGGGCTGGAGCAGGGCTGGGTCTCTCTTGTGCTGGGATGGGGGGAAGGTGTGTGAGCAGAACCCTAGCAGTATGTGGAGGGCAGGATTTCTGGAGTGCCTCCTAGACCCAGAGCTGACTTCTGTCTAACCTGCCTAGCTCTGAGAGGAGAGTTAAGACCGTACTTTCTAGTCCTTTGAAGACAGAGCCCAGGATATGCTCAAGGGCACCCAAGTATGATGAAGTCCCTCCCCTGCCCCGAGCCTGCCCCAGCCTGGCAAAGCAGGTGGACGACAGCCTGTAGATCTCAGCCTGTAGAGGAGCTTGCCCAGGGGAACAAGTGGCCTTTGCTGTCACTGAATCTTTCCTAGCAAACAGACTAGAGGTGGAAGGGCACCGTGGGGGCGGAGCTGTCCTTTTGGATTTGTTGTTGTTGTTTTTGTGAGACAAGCTCTGACTGTGTGGCTGGTCTGGCCTGGAACTTAACCATCATCCTGCCTCTACCCCGAGTTCTGGAGATCTCAGGCATGTGCTACCCCACTGGCCCCTGTGCTTTTACAAGTAAGAAAAAGAAAAAGAAAAAGAAAAGAGGGCTCTGTGCAGCTTGTTTTTATGGCTAGTGTCCTCCTGGACATTTTTGTCCCTGAGTCTAACTTAAACGTCCAGTGCTGTGGTTTCAGCCCTCTTTCCCTCTGCTCACCGAGGCTCTGGTCCCTCTCTTCTTTCGAATGCCTTTGCTCTCATTCTTCTGCCTCAGTTTTCCACTCTTACCTATGATACAGGCGCCTCTCAAACATCTTTTGCAGAATTTTTGTTTATTTTTATGTGTATGGATGTTCTGTCTGCATGCATGTCTGGTACCTGAGAAGGCCAGAAGAAGGATCCCCTAGGACTGAGGTTATAAGCCGTTATAAGCCACCGTGCTGGGAATTGAACCCAGGTCCTCTGGAAGAGCAGCCAGTGCTCTTAACTGCGGAGCCTTCTCTCCAGCCCCCATCTTTTATTTATAGAAAATTCATGCCCATGGCCACTCATCATCTCGGGTTCTCGTTTTCCTTCTCATCCTTGAAAAAGCTCAACCTCAGGCCTGGACGGGGTTCTGGGTTTGCTGCCCTGACTCCACTCTCCTCCATCGTCCCCATCATTCATTCCCTCATTCATTCCTTTTCCCACCAGGTCTTCCCCTCAAGCTCTTGAGATCATTTTTATCTTGCAGTAGCTGCCAGTGGTCTGGAGAGCGAGGGGTGTCTTCTGCCACCTCCCTTGAGGTTTCTTGCGTGTGGGGTTTGCTCTGAGTCCAGCTACCCCATGGCTTGCCAAGCAGAGACAACCTGCTGTGGTCTTTGACACATCTCTTCACCTTCACCCCCCCCACCCCCCCCCACCCCCCACCCCCCGCCAATACGCCTGTTGAGAAGGGGTCATTCTCTCTTCTCAGAGATTTAAGGCTCAGGGAGGAGGCGCTATTTGTCTAAGTCGCAGATCAAGAGCGGGCTCTACCACTTGTTATCTTGGTAAACTGGGTCAGCCCTTCCAGATCCATTTAACTGAGCATGCGCTGTGTGTGTCAGGTTCCGCCGTCCCCGAGCCCCACTTCCTCATCTGTAATGTGGGTCCAACAGTAACTTAGAGCCTGTCAGGATGAGCTCTGAGAGTGGAGATCAAGAACCGTTGATGTCTTTAGCCCCACGTTGACTCAAATGTTGTAATTAGCAAATCTGGGTGAACTTGGTTTTCCCGTCTGGTGCTTCTGTGGCAGCGGTTTTCGGCTCATTCATTAGCCCTTTATTTGTTTGTCGTTTATCACTTGGAATGACTCAGGGGCCACTCTGCAGGGTGCCACAGCTTCAGTTCTGTCCTGGTTCAGGCCTCATTGACTGCTCCCCTGGGACTAAACACCCGGTGGACTCTGGTTCTGCAGCCTGGAGCCCCTCCCTCTCTGCCTCCTCCTTCTCCCTTGTGTCCGAGGCTTGGCGGCCTGAGTTCGCACCAGCTGCTCTCTTTACCCTTTTCCCGCACAGAGGTTGCAGCTAAACTCTGAGTATATCCCAATTCCCGAACCTCGCCCTGCCATGCTTTCTCATTCCTGGGATAGCCTGCACCCTCCAAGTCACCTTCAAAATTTTCCACAACCCTAGCTGGCTGCTGCCCACGCCTTTCTAACGGACCTGGGCTTGGGCTGTTGCCTGGGCTAAAAGGACCAACAAATAAACACACAGTCTTCCTTCATAAAAAGACTCCCTTGTGCTTCCTCAGAGCCCTGGAGGAGTATGGAGTGAGCGGTAGACCTGGTCATTTGATTCCCTGAGTGTCGCTGGAGGTGAGGGCCAATGGACAGTGCTTCCCTGACAGGCCGGGCACCTCCCCCTTGCCTTTTACCTGGGAGGAGGGCCAAGTAGTGGCCTCAGTGTGATCAGCTGTGTGGAGGGAGGGACCCAGAAAGCAACCCATCGCTTCCAGATGCAATTTACCTCCGGGCAATTGACAAACAGGCAAGACGGTCAGAAAACAGACTGTGGCCTATGGAAGCTTGGGGAGTGCTGGGTTTACAGCTGGACTTTTCAGGGGGAAGGGACTGGCAACAACCATCATGGGCAGCTCCTGCCAGACTGTCCTTGTAAGAGCCAGGCACTCGGCATCTTGAGGTCATCTTGAAATGACCACCATCCAAGTGACCCCTCCTGGCCCCAGGATCCCCAACCTCTCTCAGGACAGACAAAGAAACAGCTTTCCTTGAAGGCCTACAGCTGACCCCGATGCCAAGCCCGTCCTCAGCTGGCCTTACTTAGAGGCCCCACCTTCTTCCCCCTCTTCCAATCAGGGCCCATAATGAACGAGCTCCCATGTTTACCAGGCTTCCATCGATCCCAACTGCTCAGGAAAGCCCCGAGAGCCACCTCAGTCACACCTGCCCTTTAACCCCGGCACCCATGGCAGCCTTTGAGCCCTTCTGGTCTAGAGGCCAGAGGCCAGGCTGCTGTTATTCACAGCGTACTGAAGATCTGGACAGAAGGGCCAGCTGAGATGGCGGCAGGTTATAAAAATCGAAAGGGATTTGAGTTATAAGGTCCTCAATGATGGGGTTTTAATCACAGCTCTACCCCGGGGTGGTGCCGGGCCAGTCTCTAACTCCTACAAACCTGCTTTGTCCATTGCTTTGTCTGCCGAAGACCTGGCAAGCTAGAATCTGCTTCCTGTTGGCTCGGCCTCATAACTCTGAGAGCAGAGTGTCACTTGAGGCAGAAATGCCATCAGGAGCTTGGGAAGAAAGGTAATATGCCAATAGGAAAGACTGGGCTGGAAGGATCAGGGTGAAGGGAGATGGGTGTGCGGGGTGTGTGTGTGCGCGTGTGTGTACACTCCCTCTTCTCCCTCACCAGGTTTCTGCCTCTCACAGTCCTGCCTTACCTTTCAGGGTCTCCCTATCCAGTATGGACAGAAAAGTTGCCGTCCATGAAGATGGGTATCCTGTGGTCTCTTGGGTCCCTGAGGAGGGAGAGATGATGGACCAGAAAGGCGAGGACCAGATGAAGGATCGCGGCCAATGGACCAACAAGATGGAGTTTGTGCTGTCAGTGGCTGGGGAGATCATTGGGCTAGGCAATGTCTGGAGGTTTCCTTATCTCTGCTACAAGAACGGAGGCGGTGAGTTCATGTTTAGGTGGTGTGGTGGGGAGTGTTAGACTCTGCCAGCAGGGCCACTCCTTCCCTGGAAGTGTGGTCAAACAGAAGGGGGCTGCCATGAATCTGGAAGGCTCCTGTTGGGTCCCAGCTCAGTCTCTAGCCTCAGTGTCCGTCACTCTGAACTGGGGGTAATATATTATCCATGGCTATGTGGGATTTAAGTGGGTCAACAAGCAGAAGTGTGGGGCCTGGATTCTTCACTTTACCTCTGACGGATGATAATGGCTAATGGGATTCATTCATTCATTCATTCATTCATTCATTCAACTCCCATGACTGCAGGCCTCTCAGGAGCCAAAGCTCTGCTCTAGAGGCAAGCCAGAACTTGGTCTGTGTGCTGCATTCGGATAAAGGCTGCAGATCACAGGCAAGAAACACATGTGACCTGTCATGGTGACAAGTTGAAAAACAGAGAGGAAAGTAGGGAAAAGGGAGAGGGACCCTGGGCAGCATCTGAGCACACGTGAAGAATGTGGAGGAGGGACCCTCTGTGACCAATGGGATTTATTCTTGGGTCTGGAAGGTAGTTCTTGCAGAAGTGGCATATTCTTATTATGATATCAGAACTGTTCCAGGAAGGGGGAAACACATTAGAGATAATTATTGTTTAGAAAAGCATTCTAGACTCTATTTATATTTAACCTTATAAAGAGCTAGCGGGTGTGTCCAGCCCTTTGACATGGGTTAGGCATTGAGGGAGGCAACCTCTTGTGGATCAAAAATAGTTTTTGAAAAATTGTATCTGTACTAAGAGTATGCAGCCTTTTCATATCATTCCCTTGACAGTGCAGCCTAACCTCTTAGGGTGAGCTGGAAGCTGTGGATGGGTCCTGTATCTAGACGGTGCTGTGTCACAGAAGAGGCTTGAGCACAGTGGGGCTGCCATCCAAATGGTCCTGGAAGCAGTCTTCCAAGGCTACCAGGGGCTGACTATGACTGGACACACTGGAGTCCACCTCACCTTTCTTTCCCTCCTCTTTAACATGAGTGACTAAATCAGGCCTTGGCTTCCATCCTGGAGTCACTTGCTTTTGGGGCTCTAGAAAAATAACAAGAAGGACCAGGAGTTAGTTCTTTCCTTATTCTAGATAAGCTGGGAATAGATATATATTGGAACATGATGTCACAGATAAACCCAAATGCCATTGTTTTGCTTTAGGCTAGAATTTTTTTGACTCCTTGTGATAACAGGTCTCATGTCCCCCTGACCACAGGCCCTACTTGATGGAAATTTATCTTTTGTTAAAATATGTAGAGAGATTCATTGATTATTGGTTAATAAACACAGTTCTGCAGAGAAAATGGCCTTTTAAGAGAGTAGAAAAATAATAATGTCTAAGGTCATCTCTGGTTGCGAGAGAGGGGAACCACTAAACTTAGTCATCCTTGAGAAACGCTCCCTCCCGGAGAGAGCCTTCTCTAAGTCTTATTTCTGATGCCGTGGTTCAGAGAAGAGTCAGCGGCCAGGTCATTGCCTAAGGTAGATCTGAGCAAAGGGAGGGACACTCTGAAATAGCCTCCCGCTGAATCCCCATGTTGGCTAAGGTCCCCGTGGACATTGTCAGGCTGCTTATGTACACAGCTGGGAACACACCATGAGGCTGTGGCCAGGCAGTGTTCCCAGGCGAGGATTAGATCAGCCCATTTGAGGAGAAGACGTTCGCAGTGCTGATGTGCTGGGAGCTCAGGAGAGAGCCACGTGCCAAGGCTTTCCTGCATTATATCCAGAGCCGGCTTCCATCCAGCCCCAAGAGGGCCCGAGGAAAGCCTATCTCTGGGCCTCTAGAGCTCCACATCTTCTGTGGAGTGAAAGCCCACATTCCAGGGGCACAGGAAAGAAGCTCCCACAGCTGGTAGGAAGGCACCTGTGGCCATACACACCCATGGACTTCCTATGAAGGTCCTTCCTTCAAAGTGTGGTATCTGCACACAAGGGGCATTAGCCTTTATTCATTCAAAAATTTTCTTTTAAATTTATTTATGTTATTTTACATGTGTGACTATTTGCCTGCATGTGTTTATGTGCAACCCCTGTGTGCCTGGTACACACAGAGGTCAGAGGAGGGTGTTGGATCCCTGGAACTGGACTTATGGATGGTTGTAATTCACCATGTGGGTACTGGGAACTGAACCCAGGTCCTCTGCAAGAGCAATACATCTCTTAATGGCTGAGCCATCTCTCCAGTCCCATTAGCTAACCTTTAAAAGAGATAATGATGCGTGCTATGGCCTGGATGATTTTGAAGATATGATTAATGAAACAAATATAACAGGACAAATGCTATGATTGCATTCATCGAACAAATACTATGATTACATGTGAGGTGCCCAGAGTAGACAAATTCATAGAGACAGAAAATAGACTATCATTGACAGGGTTGAAGAGGCCGAGTTCATGTCTAATGCATACGGAGTTTCAGTAAGTTCTGGAGCTGGACGCACAACACTGGGAACGCTTTAATGAAAAATTGTACATTTTTTGTACATTTCATGAAAAATGTGTACACTTACACAGTATATACTTTAACATGCACATACACACTAAGAAAAGAGGAATTCCTCAGCAATTGTGCCTAAGGAAATGTGTTCTAAGGAACAAACTGAACAAGTATATTAGGATGTGGGTGATTTTCAGTCTGACAAAAAACTTAACACAAAACTAAAAGCCCAGTGATAAAATACTAAAAAAATAAGTACCATTCCCACACTAGAACCTTCTATAGGTGTTGAAGTGGTGCCATGTATTTATTGACACGAAGAGGTTTATGATAAGAATTTTAAAATGGTGGTCAAAGAACATACAGTACATTGCTTTTGTGAAGGAGCAATGTGTATACTTATAAGAAATCTGGAGGGAGGGCCTGTAATCCCCGTACTGGGGTTCTTGAGGCAGGAGCATCATAAGATCAGGGCCAGATGGGTGACATAGTGAGTGAGACCTTGTCTAGTGAAACAGAACCAAGCAGATTCTGAAAGAAGAGCTGGAGTACAGCTCCATGGCAGAGCCCTGGCCTGCTGTATATGAGACCCTGGGTTGTTGTCCTAACATGGTACCCGCCACCAAAAGATGGGAAGGAAAACAGGGAAGGGAGGGAGAGAAGGAGGGAGGGAGGGAGGGAGAGGAGGAGAGAGGCAGAGGAGGAGGGAGGGAGGGAGAGGAGGAGAGAGGCAGAGGAGGAGGGAGGGAGGGAGGGAGGGAGGGAGAGAAGGAGAGAGAGAGAGAAGAGGGAGGGAGGGAGAAGAGGAGGGAGGAGGAAGAGGAGGAGGGAGGGAGGAGAGAGGGAGGGAGAGGAGGAGGGAAAGGAGGAGGGAGGAGAGAGGGAGGGAGAGGAGGAGGGAAAGGAGGAGGGAGGAGAGGGAGGGAGAGAAGGAGAGGAGGAGGGAGGGAGGGTGGAGGTGGGGAGGAGGCAGGCAGTCTTCTGGAAGGCTATACAATGCTCTGTCCTTCTTTCCTTTTGTGCTCCCTGGCTTTCCTCCGTGGGAGCGATGACTTCAGAGGCATTATGGGATAGCCACATGTGGTGGTCAGGAACGAAGCCTCAGGGTCAGGATGCCTGGTGTGCGGCGTCCTCATCTGTACCTTAGTTCTTGTGTTTTCAACCTGGGCTCAGCTTTCTCAGCTGTCAAGGGGGTGACAGCAGGATCTCCCTGGTGGGAGGTTGGTTTGTGCGGGTTCAGTACCGCTGAAGCTTAGAAGAGGCTCCAACACACAAAGCACCAATGGAAGCGCTAAGCCGCAGAGAAACAAGAATCCTCTCCCCATGAGGGATCTCTGGGCTGAGACCATACCTCTGCAGCAGCTCCACAGGTCCCTGCAGGGCCTGCCACAGGGTCAGCAGATCAAACAATCCCAGGGGTGGAGGGAAGCCCTCTGAAAACTGTTGGTGAGAAAAGAACACTTCCAAGCTGGCTTCATCTGTTCGTTTCTAGAATGTAGCCATCTTGATAGTTTAATAAGCATGTCGAATTATACAGAACACATGCTTTTCTTTCAAAACTAATATGCGATTTGATTTGTAAAACACAGTAAACAGTTCATTGATGGGAGCTTCCATCTCAAGATTCATTTCTTCCCCTCCAAAGACTTTGCCTGACTTACTTGGGGCTCATGTCAGGGTCATCCGCTGGGCATCCCTGACAACATGCAGCCGGGCAGAGGGGACACCATGGGTCTTGGGTGTGTGAGGAAGGAGGCTGAGGGTAGGGGTGCTGGAGGGAAGTTCAGGGTCTTGACGCCGCAGCGGCTCAGACTCTGCCTGTCCTTCCACCAGGAGCGTTCTTCGTGCCCTACTTCATCTTCTTCTTCAGCTGTGGCATCCCAGTCTTCTTCCTGGAGGTGGCCCTGGGCCAGTACAGCAGCCAGGGGAGCGTTACTGCTTGGAGGAAGATCTGTCCCCTCCTCCAAGGTGAGTGCCATCCTTCCCCTCTTCTGCCCCTGTTGCTGCTGCTGCTGCTCTTGCTTCCCGTTCCCAGCCTCACTCTCCATGCTGTCCTCTCGTGTGCTGTGTGAAAGCAGCCTCTCGAGGCCCAAAGCTTAGATGCCCAGGGAGAAGGACGTGTCAAGAGAAACAGGACACAATTACAGGTGCCACATTAGGTGTAGATTTTGGAAGACGCAGCCAGGATCCTGAACCTTAACCTTCATCCGCCCCAAGGAAGGTATGTCTGTGACTCTGTGTCACGACCCAAACAGGCTCATGAGCACAGTAATGCTGATGACGGTGACAGCCAGTGTCTGTGGAGCCTGTCTGTGTCCGTGTTCATGTGAGCACTTGACTTGTGTCCCATTACCCAGGGCTCTCATCACTCCATTCTACAGATAAAGAAAGCGGGGCCATTCGCTGAGTTTGAATTAGGGCACCCTGTGCTCTTTTCTTCTTGTCTCTATCAGGGGCAGCGTGCTCTTCTCTATAGATCTGTGTTGTAGACACAAGCAGCTGGGGTGTTTTTCATCAGCCTCCTTCAGTGGCTTGGCCAGATCCCTGAGCTGCAATGGAGGGCCCAAGAGCCCCCTTGTCTCTGAGACATCCCTTATACCTCAGATGCAGAGAGAGGTCTTTCCTTATGCTAGTCTCTGAAGGACCACCAGCGCCCAGGATGTCCCGGTTATTTGTCTAGGAAGGGACCAGACTGAGCGTGTCTGATGAGCACTGGGTACCCTGGCTCCTGAGAAGGCTGCCTGGCCACACACTGGGGAAAGGTGAGGCTGATTGCAAGCTGCACCTCTTGGGGCATTAGCTGGTCTCTTGTAGTATCCAGGAGACCCTTAATGGGGCTCCGGACCAGCAAAGCACTGTAGCTAAGGGCACCGAGAATTTCCACGGCGTGTTTCCGCCGAGGAGCCCAAGTTCTTCCGGTGTCACTCTCTCCCACACTGGCCTCTGATGTTCTTGCCGAGCTCACCCTGCTCCTTCCTGCTTTGCCGCTTTTCATTCTGCAAGTAATTGATGATGTCACAGGAAAATAGAAAATGCAGGCGGGGAGAAACAGATAAAGAGATGGGGGTAGCGACAGAGCTAGAGAGAAAGGGGGGTGGGGAGGAGATGGTATCACCGCAATGGGAGGGTGTGTAGATAATAAACTTAACCTTCTTTCTTTTTCTTTTTTGTTTTGTTTTGTTTTTTCGAGACAGGGTTTCTCTGTGTAGTTTTGGTGCCTGTCCTGGATCTCACTCTGTAGCCCAGGCTGGCCTCGAACTCACAGAGATCTGCCTGCCTCTGCCTCCCGAGTGCTGGGATTAAAGGCCTGAGCCACCACCACCTCCCAGCTTAACCTTCTTTCTTTAGGAAGATGAAATGGAGCTCGGTGTAGGGGTACATGTGACTGGCAGACCTTGTGTGACATTGTTTTTTCTTATGCTGCTGCTCTCTTTGACTCTCTTTGCTCCTGAAGGCATTGGCATGGCATCGGTGGTCATTGAGTCTTACTTGAACATCTACTACATCATCATCCTCGCCTGGGCTCTCTTCTACCTGTTCAGCTCCTTCACCTCGGAGCTGCCCTGGACAACCTGCAGCAACTCCTGGAACACAGGTACCTGTGTGTCAGCCCTGCCATGGGGCCTTGCTCATGAGGTCGGTCCACGGTGGCTCCTGACGGAGGGCATCACAGCCCTTGCCTTACGGTTGAGCTGTGTGGGCTATGCTGTCCGTTCCACTGGCTGGTCTTTCTGTGTAGCTAGAGGCCGCTGGGGGAACCAATGGGGCTTTTGTACAACCACAGCATGCCTCCATCTCGTAAACATTCTTGGGTACCTCTTACGTGTCAAACACTCTGTCAAAAACTGAGTAAAGGCAGATAGGACCCCACACTGTCTGACCTGGCTATGGTAGAGGTAGATGAATCAACAAAACAAGACTTCACCATGATGGGTGGAAAAAACAGGATAGCAATTGTAGAAAAATGGGAGAGGAAAGAGCCCGTCTTGAGATCAGTACTGGATAATTCCAGGGACTAGGCTTTTTTGTCTGTAGGATGAAAAATTAGAGTGGCACAATGGGCAGGCCAGGGGTAGGCTGTTGATGGGAGCTGCCCACGTGGACTGTGGCTGTCTGTGCTCTGTGTTGTTCTGGAGGAGGTCAGGGCATTCATAGGAGTGGCCAGACTCACTGGGAACAGGTCCAGTGGACACAGGCTATACAGGGAAGAGGAGCTGGTTCCACTGATACCCTGGCTCCTGAGGAAACTCTTGGGCCTAGAAATAGTGGGAAGTTCTGGTTGCAAGGTCAGAGGGTAAGTACAAGGGCATCCATCATTCCTATCTGGTCCCTAACTGATATCCATCCCAACCTTGTCCCCAACAGAGCATTGTGTGGACTTCCTGAACCACTCAGCAGCCACAGGAGTGAACCACTCTGAGAACGTCACCTCGCCTGTAATGGAATTCTGGGAGTAGGTCTTGGGCCTGCTTGCGATATTCCAGGGGCCCTAAGTACAGGGAGCCTGGGTGTCTGGATTGTGCAAGCTTGAACACTGGTAGTGCATACTTTAGACCCTGCATGCTTTCTAGCACCCCCCATCCTCTGCCCCAGACCTATATCACTTAGAGATAAGGGAACCTTCATAGCCAGCCTTGATTAACTATCTATACCTTCATACTTATGATGAGATTTTGAATGTTGATGCATGCTTAAGACTCTGTGCAGGCTTTCTAACATTACTTATCCTTTGCCCCGCCAAGATCCATATCACGGAGGGATAAGGGAACCTTCACATTCAGTCTTGATTTCCTATCTATACCGTCATACTTACCCTAAGCCTTCACATGTCTGTACAAACTTGCATTTTCCCATCTGCCTCCACTCATTCTCATGACTGTCCTCCTATGCCATTCCTGCACTCCAGCTGGACCCGCACATCCCTGGACACCTGTCCACAGGATGACAGGAACTTTTATTATCTCCTGGCAGCCCGCTGCATGTATCCCTCCCAAACTGGGTGCACTGGTATCTGGTTGGTAGCTTGACACTGAGTAGTATTTGCACCACAGAAATGTGCTCACCATTCTCCCTCCTGTGTGACGATTCACACCTCCACCTCCACAGGCCGTGTACACTTACTTGCTTTTCCTCGTGGTCTACCTGTGCCCTCACACCAATTCACCCTGCACACATTCAGCACTCACCTGTCTACCCATGTCTTCTCACCAGCCCTTTCTGGATTATCTGATCTCTCTCCTATGTATACCCATCTCCACCCTCACCTTTCGGTGGCAGCACACTTCATCCCCTCCCTTTGATCCTGTGCCATTGCTGGTCTCCCTCTGCATGCGTGTGTCTGTGCTCTGTCACTCACTTCCGATTTCAACACCTTCGCTTTCTTTATATCTCTGTGCAACAGAGAATCTGGATGAGTTAGAAAGACACACGTACATGTGAGATTACAGTGATTCGGTCTTCTAATAGTCTGGGGCACTCAGAGCACAGGTGGGAATGTGGCATGGCCATGGAGAGGTTGGTGAGGGCAGGGATGTGGAAGCCCTGGGGAGTGTTATCTGTGGGGTCAGCTCTGAATCAGGAGACTTGGCGACAGAGGCAGATTGTCCCCTTCGGTCTTTCAACTGGTTATTTTTTTTCCCAATTTCTTAGGAGACGGGTTCTGGGTATTACATCGGGCATCCATGACCTGGGGTCCCTGCGCTGGGAGCTGGCCTTGTGTCTTTTGCTCGCCTGGATCATCTGCTACTTCTGCATCTGGAAGGGGGTCAAGTCCACGGGCAAGGTAAGGTATCCTGGCTCCTTATGAGTACTTACAGTCACAGAATCCTCAGGGACACTTGAAAGGGTCCCTCAGGAGAGTGGAAAGAAAGAACAGTTTGAGAGAGATACATATAAGAATAGATGATGTTGCAGGAACATGGGGCTTAGCTCAAAACGAGAGGAGACTTTTTCCACCAACAGGTTTCAAAAGACCTGTTTATCTAAGCAATGTTTAGAGCAAAATAAACCATAAGAGTCCCACTTTTGGAGCTCATTAGTTTCCAAGCTGTCAGCAATATGGGGGGCAGGCCTCCGACTCTTCTTTGCACATGCGCATCTGTGTATCTGTCTCCATTATGTATGACAGGGCCACATATTCTTATGACTTGCCTGTTGTATTTAAATGACACATGAAGAAGAGTTTCCATACAAATTAGCAAAGAGAGCCATCTTTGGGGTAAGTGCCAATCAGTGAAGGGGCTTAAGCCAAGAAGTATGGGCATCAGTGGGTTCGTCCTAGAGCGAGATCTCAGATCTGGGCCTCATTTCCAGTCCAGAGAACTGGGGATGGTGTCTCACACTTTTCAAAATCAAGAGTGGCAGGTTCCGAGTGTTCTGACTGCCCTTGTGACTGTCCTCCCTTACGGGGTGACGGGTTGATTTCAGCGTGGAGTTGGAGAGAGTGAAGTCAGGGTGGAGAGTGGTGGCAGGAACCCGAGGCTGCTGGTCGTCACACAGTGCCGACCAGGAAGCAGAGGGTGTGGGTGGGAAGCAGAGCTGGGTTGTAACAATGCCCACCCCGAGCTAGGGCCCTTGTCCAAAAGTCCCAGAACTTTCCAGGCTAGCACCACTAGTTGGGGACCAAGCGTTCAAGCATGTGAACCCGTTGAGGACACTTCACAACTAAATGGTGCTACTCCTCATTCCTTGGGCTGTGGTCAGGAAAAGTAAAGATGAGGAGGATGGAGGTGGTGGTGACGACGCCCTGACAGACACAGATGGTCAGGGCAGCATGGAGTCCTTTTGAAGTCTCTTAGGCGCTCAGACCATTGCTGCTGCTCCAGTCATGACCTGGAAAAGAACAGTCTGGATTGCCCACAGGTTGCCAGACAAACCTGGCCGCCTTCCTCCTGGAGAGGCACCCACGCTCAGGGGTTTGGGGAGGGTACCCAGGATGGTGAAGGGAGGGGACCAGGTTCCGGACTTGACATGGTCTTTGAAAGGTGGGCTGGGAGCGTCTTCCTTCCCTGCTTGCACGCTCCCCTCCTCCCTTCCCTGCTGATATGTATCACTCTGCTGGGGAGTAAGAGCCACTGGAATGTGTAAAGGGAGGTGTGGAAATTTTCGTGTGCTCGCCAGCAGCTGTCTGTATGAAAGTGGAGGTCGGAGCTCCTGTGCTGAATGCGATGGTGTGAGCTGCTCTGCCTGGGGACAGGTGGAGGCAGGGCAGGATAACCACTGGAGACTCCCTGCCTCCTTCTGCCTTCCCCTGCCTACCCCCTGCCTCCCCCCACTACCCCCTGCCTCCTTCCACCTCCTCTCCCACTTCCCCCGGCTCCTCTTTGCCTTTCCCCCTTCTCCCCCTGCCTCCCCTGCCTCCCTCTGCCTCCCTCTGCCTCCCTCTGCCTCCCTCTGCTCCCCCCTGCCTCCCTCTGCCTCCCCCTGCCTCCCTCTGCCTCCCTCTGCCTCCCTCTGCCTCCCCTGCCTCCCTCTGCCTCCCCTGCCTCCCTCTGCCTCCCTCTGCCTCCCTCTGCCTCCCTCTGCTCCCCCTGCCTCCCTCTGCCTCCCCCTGCCTCCCTCTGCCTCCCCTGCCTCCCCCTGCCTCCCCCTGCCTCCCCTTGCCTCCTCTGCCTCCCCCTGCCTCCTCCCTCTCTCCTCCCTCCCTCTGGGTAGCCATGTCAGGAGTGACTTTGGCCTGTTTTCCCTCCAGGTTGTCTATTTCACAGCCACTTTCCCCTACCTGATGTTGATTATTCTCCTCATCCGGGGTGTCACCCTTCCTGGAGCCTACCAGGGCATCGTCTTCTACCTGAAGCCAGACTTGCTGCGCCTCAAGGACCCCCAGGTGGGAATCGCCCGCGAGGGGACTGTTAATGGAGATGTGCCCTCACCAGACTAGACTGTACTTTCAAAGTCTTCCCTTGATTTTCCTGTGGCTTAAGAGAAACAGATGTGTACTGGAGAAGAATTAGATATCATCGAAGAAAACTGTGAGAAAGGACAGGAAGGCTCCTAACATCCATCACCACTATTAGCATTTTAGTCTGCCCCCCCACTCCCAGGTAGTGTGCATGTGTGAACACAATTGAGATGATTTTACTTAGAGAAGTAGATCCTTTTGATTTAAATTATATTACGAACCTTTCCATGCCATTAAATTCACTTTTAAATGTTACCTCAGCATCTGTATAATATTTCCTCCAAACATAATTTATTCAACAAAAATATCCTGAGGGCCTCTTAATGGCTAGGTACGGTCTGTTGCTGGGGTAGAACGGGGGAGCAAACAGGCCATCTCCCTGTCCTGCTGAACCCTGAGCCCTGACCTCAGACACTGAGGCGATGTCTACATTTTAAACAGACACGGTCTATCAGTATCTGAGGGTGATTGTCCATGACACTATACCCATAGGCTCTCAGATCTCTCGTTAGAAATGGTGTAGTATTTGTGTCTGACTGAAGCTCATCATACCACACCCATTGAATTATCTCTAGACTTCTTATAACACCATAATATCAGCTGTCTATAAATAGGTGTTCTATTGTGTCCATACAGGGAACAGTGCCAAGAAAAAGGTTGGTCCTTGTTAGGACAGGTACAATTTTTTTTTCTGAATATTTTTCCATCTGAGGGTTGGTAAATGGCCACCACCCCCATCCTGTGTGTCTGTCACCAGACTGGGACTTAGGCTGCCTGGCTGGGGAGTGTATACCCCATGCCTGACTTTTTAACCTGGCTACAGCGATTGAATTCAGAGTCTCAGGCCAGAATCACCACCCCACCCCCCAGTTAGAATTGATTTTACTCTTTGGTAACTTTGCAGACCCAGAAGTCACTTACCACTTTAAGGTTTAGTTTATTGATCACTGCAGATGGGGCTGGGCATTTCCTCATGAATGTACTGGCCATTTGCATTTCCTCCTCTAAGGACTTGTCCGAGCACACTTTTTTTTTTTTTTTTTTTTTTTTTTTTTTTTTTTTTTTTGGCTTCCACCAAGAGGTCTTGGTGGATTTCTTTCTATTTTTATGAGGTAGCCAGGTCATAGTTCAAGAGGTGCCACGCAGACACACTGGCGGAAGCAATGCCAGGGACCCTTCAGTTTACCAGGCCCAGGTACACCTGGCTCTGTCGAAGCTGCCTGGAATGAAGCAGCCTACACACACTTGATGCTTCCTGAGTAATTGCCGAGCCAAACTGAAAATGGGCCCTGCCCGTGAGAAGGTGGCTCCTGGGGAGCAGGATGCAGACATGATAGATACTGTGTGGGACAGTGAGAGGTGGGGTGTGCTGTAGTGAGGGGCTGCGTCCTGCTAGCTGCAGCTCTCAGCCCTTGTTGCCTCTACCCTACTACTTTCTTGGGCCTCATGTAGGTGTGGATGGATGCGGGCACCCAGATCTTCTTCTCCTTTGCCATCTGCCAGGGGTGCCTGACGGCCCTGGGCAGCTACAACCAGTACCACAACAACTGCTACAGGTGAGAGCTGCTGGGTTGGGCAGGCAAGGGCAACCCTGCCCCTCTGGGAGCCGAGCAACACCTGTGTGGATACCTTTCCATGACCCAGTTTCTTCCACCCCTTTCCTGGTCCCCTCTTCCCCTGACATCTGGTGTGTATGTTTTTTTGCTGTTTCACGATCCTTGCTTTCCCATTTTCCTTCTGGATTTCTCCATTTCTCTTCCTCTTCTTCCTCTTTTGCTTTCTGCCTTTTGATCTCTCCTTCTTGGATTTTCTCTTCCCCGTTCTCTTCTCTGCCCCTTCTCTGTCTGACCTCATTTATCCCCACAGGGACTCCATAGCCCTCTGCTTCCTGAACAGTGCTACCAGCTTCGTGGCTGGGTTTGTCGTCTTCTCCATCCTGGGCTTCATGTCTCAAGAGCAGGGAATACCCATTTCTGAAGTGGCTGAGTCAGGTAGGGGACACTCTCCACACACTTCCCTGGACTCTGGGAAGGAGAGTCAGGGAACACGGATCCCTCCTGCAGATAGGGAGAAGTTCCAGGAACCAGGGCTAGGAGCCTTTTTAGCTTGGGGTGGGTGGGTGGTGTTGTATGGCATAAATGAAGCTTCTAGAACTGTGGGATAGAAGAGAAGAAAAGAGAAGAGGGCGGGAGAGAGAGAGACGGGGCTGGGGGGGGGAGAGAGAATGCAAGCCTATATGAGGCTTTGTCCCGGGGTAGAACATAGAATGAACTTACTTGCTTTCCTTAAACAGCTCACCCACCTGTCTGCACACCGAGGCTCACAGATGCACGAGATGCCCACAAGTGCTCACAGGCACACATAGGTGCTCACAAGCATATACTCATGTGGACACTCAAAAAAAAAAAAAAAAAAAAGCTCAAGATTCATACAGATGTTCACAGATACTCACAGACACACAGAGACACACGTAGATCACAGAAGTACATACAGACACAGACACTCAGTGACATATGGAAGTCACAGACATGCACATTCACAGATGCTCACAGAAGCACATAGATGTATTTAGTCATTCACAAAGAATCACATGTATAAGTGCACACACACACACGCACTCACACACGCACACTCAGACGTTCATAAATGAACACATAAGCACATAAAAATCCCTGAAGTCCACATTCATAGATGCTCACAGATACACATCAAGGCATGTACACACACGAACAGATGCTAACAGACAGGCATAGATTCTCATAGACCCTATAGATGATCATAGACACAGACACTTTTGTATAGACACTCACAGTACACACAAACCTTCACAGAGGCCCCCAAAGGCTTGCGGGAGATGCTCACAGACACAAGTTTCCAGACACACATGCACACACAGAAGTTCACAGACACACATAGACACTCACAGCCTTTTACAGACACTCATTGGCACTTGCAGGCATGTCAAGATGCATAGAGAGGGCTCCTCTTCAGGTAGCAAGTGGTTTGAAGTACAGTCGCTGTATTGTGTACCTGGCAGGTCCTGGTCTGGCCTTCATTGCCTTCCCCAAAGCTGTGACGATGATGCCTTTGTCCCAGTTATGGTCCTGCCTTTTCTTCATCATGCTCCTGTTTCTAGGGCTGGACAGCCAGGTATGGAACCTTTGTCCTGGGTCCCTCTTTCAGCTACTGTTCCTCTTGGTATCACTTTTCCTCATGTACCTTCTCCCTGACCATGGACCAGAGGCCTCACTCTGGTTCAAGTCTTTTGCCTTGGGTTCTGATGGGTGGCCCCAGGCCTCCAGAGCTCCCCCTGCTCTGAAAGGGCTTGCCATTTTTCTCTCAGAGTTGAGCCTCCCCCTATACATGGGCACTCTCCCAGATGCTCTACAGAGGCTCATCTCCAGCCTCATGGTCCAGCCCCATCCTGTAGCCTTGGGGTACAGAACCTCTCCCCGATTTTAACCTTCCCTACCGAGATTCCTTCATAGGAAGTTGTAGCTGAGGGAATGGCTGGCTTACCACTGTCCCTGCCCCCCACATCAGTGTAGGCAAATAGAATGATGCATGGCAGGGTCATGTGGGGGTAGCACTAGGGAAGACCTAGGCCCTTGCTGGATAGCTGTCTCAATCCTGTACTTTCCTGGCCCACAGTTTGTCTGTATGGAGTGCTTGGTGACCGCCTCCATGGACATGTTCCCCCAGCAGCTCCGGAAGGGCGGCCGGCGTGAGCTGCTGATCCTGGGTGTTGCAATCGTGTGCTACTTGATGGGGCTCCTTCTGGTCACTGAGGTGAGAGGGCAGGGTGGGACTCCTGACTCTTCAGAGCCATTCCTTCCTTCTGCTCGGGGGCTCACACCCTCTCTGCTCCCTCATGGTGAGGTCGAAGGTCCCACTCATTAGAATCTAAGTGCTGGCGATGGGAGCCACACACAAAGTGCCCTAAGACAAAGGAGACTGAATGGAGTCAGTGACATCAAAGTCTGGAGCTATTCTGGCTTCTGTCAAATGCATGAATCTGCCTGTGACACTGTCTGGCGCGTTCCCTTTTGTGTCCCACCTCCCTTTCTGTGGGTCACTTGGCCCCCAGGCAGATTTCCCTCTGTGATGTCAAGGAAGGCTGTTTTTGCTCCTGGTCCCTTTCCCCATTCAGCCGATCAGGCTTTCTCTTGAGTTTGACAGGTGTTCAGGCTAACATCCTTCCTTAGGCTTGCAACACAGGAGAGGACTGCCATAACCCAAAAGGAACAGACTGAGGGGCACCAGTTCCACCGAGAAGGGGATACTGTGCAGACAATATACCACAGGTCCCCCACCCCCAGCACCTTGAGGATATCAGAAATTATTGTCCCAAGGCTGATGGTAGCTCCTGATCACAGAACTAGGCAGAGCAGACTCCTGGTAGCTGTCAAACGTTTCTCCTGAGCAGGCCAGGCCAGCACATCTCACTGTGGGGGCAGGTGCTGGTCCTCCCCAGAACTCAGCTCCCTCTTCCTCCGCAGGGCGGGATGTACATCTTCCAGCTCTTTGACTACTACGCCTCCAGTGGCATATGCCTGCTCTTCCTGTCCTTGTTTGAGGTGGTCTGCATTGGCTGGGTATATGGTGAGTGGGGCAGGTGGCTATGGAGCAGGAGCAAGATGCTCTGAGGCTGATGAGGGCAGGCTCTGTCTTGGTCTGGCTGCTCTGATTCCTTTTTCTAGGAATGTCAGACATGGCCTGGAGGCCCGATGTCTCTCTTAGAGTTAAGGCAAGGACAAATCAGGCTTCCTTCCTCAGCGGAATCCCAGTCAGAGGGGACATTTAGGGCCATTTGGCCTGACCCCTCCCCCCACACCCACCCTCAAATTCCTTCATTCCCTTTCCGACAGCCAAGCCACTCACGCAGGCTTTGTTGAACCCTGGAACACCGCACGGCTATTCCTCACGCTTTAAAAGCCGTTTTCCCCACTGTTGCTGTTACAGGTTGCTTTCTTACAGGGAGGTCAACTCTGTCGTGTCGTGACTTCCAGGGATGGCCTGGACCCCACAGCACTGAGATCACTAAGTAGCAATCTCAGTGCCTCATTGTCGAAGCCACTGTCATGCCTGGCAACAGCCGGGGTTCCGGGCACTGCGCTTTGCAGGTCACATGCCACTGCGAGATCTGCAAATCGGCCTCATGCAGTGGAAAGAAGGCACAGGACAGATGCTCTCTGCCTGAGCTCACACAGCTACTAAACGGAAGTGTCGTCTCCTGTCTAGGTCTGTGGTCTCTGCCACAGGTCAGGGACATAGTGCTAACATCCCAAGGCTCAGGGCAGAATGAGTAGCCACCTCATATTAGGGTCTCAGAGGAAACCTGAATGAGAAGGTTCTTACTTCATAACCCTGGACTTCCTGCGGGGTCCTTCCCTGGCCTTGGAGCTGGCTTCCCCCTTCCCACCCTAAGCATTCGATATCTGCCTGATTCTCCTCCAACTCTTGTACTAACGGCTCTAATCAATTCAACCAAGGAGGTGGAGGAAGCTGATATGTCACACCTCCTGGCAATACTGGGCTTGGAACTTTGGCCTTTACCAGTCAGAGCTGTGGCCCTTTAAGGGTCGGCATTCATGTGTCAGTGTCAGTGGGGAGGCAGTGAGCTGGGGTGAGAGGAGTCCCCCAGACATGGCTGCCACTGAGAGGTTCTTCCCATCCAAGGAGACTGGTTCTGCCTGAGATGAGGGCCAGTGTGAAAGCTGACAGAAGCCAAGCCGGTCAGTGTCTTCACTAAAGCACAAACCAACCTGGCAGGGCTGAGCGTGAGGAGCCCACAGGTCGGGAATCAGGCGCACAGCCCTATCCCTAGTACTCTTCTCCCTTCTGTGGTGTGGGGCAGTAAGGATTTGCTGGTATTGGCTCCTTTAGGCTTGTGTATTCCAGTGTGCGTAGGACAGACGCTGTTCGTCCTTAGACAGGACAGCAGAGGTGGTTCCAACAGCTTGTGGGTGGCAGCTCCTGCCAACATCACTGCTCTGTGGCTGGGAGGGTGGGTCCGCATCTCTTTACCATCTTTATCACAGGCAGGGCTGGGGGGAAGTGGGGGGTCCTTCCCAAAGGTCAAGAAGTTGCTTTCACCTCTGGTTCTCACCCTTTCTGGCTCAGGGGCAGACCGTTTCTATGACAACGTTGAGGACATGATTGGCTACCGGCCCTGGCCCTTGGTGAAGATCTCCTGGCTCTTCCTGACCCCTGGTCTTTGCCTGGTACATACCCATTGTTCCTTCTCCCTCTTGTCTGCAGAAGACTTGGGATCTGGGGATTCTTTCCTGCCTGAGCGGAGGGGTTGGACCCTGCTCTCCCTCCTCTCCTGGGCCTCTCATCCACCCTCCTTCATCTAGTCCCCCTCCTGCTTCAGCCCTCCCTCACAGCCCTGCTTCTTCCTGACAGGCCTCTCTCCGTCTGCCTGGAGCTCTAATTTAACCCCCATACCCACCGCCTGTGACTGATGACTCACTGACACTGTCCTACCTCAGATGCCCCTCAGTGTGGTTGGGTGGTCCTCTGTCCTTGACTGTTGGGGTAGCCAGGGAAGGACTCTTGGTGGCCACTGTCTTATCCTGCCCCTCCCCCTTTCTTAGGCCACATTCATCTTCTCCTTGAGCAAGTACACACCTCTCAAATACAACAATGTCTACGTGTACCCTTCTTGGGGATACTCCATTGGATGGCTCTTGGCTTTCTCCTCCATGGCCTGTGTGCCACTCTACATCATCATCACCCTTCTGCAGACCCAGGGTTCCCTCAAGAAGGTAGGTGGTGGTGGAGGTGAGCCGGTGGAGAAGGCCCCTGAGGGAGGCTTAGGCCAGGAGCATATACCACTTCCCCACATAGGAAAGCCTTGGGGCTCCATGGAGACCTTAAAGGCCTTTGAAGAGCAGGCCTCTGGAACCCTAGGTTGTAGAATCTGATGTCAGGCTGATCTCAAAGGCTAGCTAGTCAAGAGCAAACTGCTTAATGGCTGAGGGAAAACAAGGATCAAAAAGCCAGATGTAGAAAGGTTAAAGAGCACACATACATCCTGGATCTAGGAGAACTGCCAAGCACACTCTGGCTCCTGGCTTCTTTGCTTATTGTAGCCCCAACTGGGGTACAGCAGATGGCTCCTGTGTAGTTTGGGGTATGCCTTTCCTGGAAGAAGCCATTGCCAATGACCCATAAAGACATGAAATATGTCTGTCAAAGTCAGACTGTCCAATAGTAATAGAGAGCTGATCTGTAGTAGTTTAAGCAAATGGGCTTCTTGAATTCTTATGTATCAGGAAGGTTAGAGATGGGGGCTGCTGGTGTTTGGTTTGGCTGCGGAGAGGCCACTGGGGTCCAGACTCTTCCTGTATCCTCATACCTGCATCCTGAGCATGTCTCTCCATTGTCCTGCTTACTACTTCCTGGTCACAGTGAGGTTGTCAAGATTCCCAATTCCCATCATCACAGCTATATTCAGGGCCAGAAAGGGGGGTGGGTGGGTTGACACACCAAAAAATAGCATAACAATGTAGTAGTACTACAGATAACTGAGAAACTACTTAGCAGGGCATATAACAATGGTAATTAGAAGGATAATAATGACAATCATGACATTTATCACTTGCCTTGTGATAGGAACTGTACCATAAGGTGTTGTTGTTACCCCCATTTTACAGATAAGGAAAGTGAGGGGACCAAAGGGATGGAAGAGTTATGTGAGTTACCTGAGATTGCTTAGGCAGTCTAGTCAGAACTGGAACTCGGGAGTTCACACTCCTAATTACCTCTCATTGTCCATTTTCATATCAGAACCGTCCTTCATTTAGCCCCAAGTGTCTGGCTTTGTGCCTGAGGACACACCCACAAGAGCACCCTCCTGCTCACCCCCAGTGCTCATTCACTTCCTACTTCTCTTCTCCACAGCGCCTTCAAAGACTCATCACACCGGACCCCAGTCTGCCCCAGCCAGGGCGGCGTCCACCTCAGGATGGCACTTCTGCTCAGAACTGTTCGCCCTCGCCAGCTAAGCAAGAACTCATTGCCTGGGAGAAGGAGACACATTTGTAGGATGTGCCAGAGGCCAGGTGGCTCCAGAGCCAGGGACCTGGTCAAGGCTACCTCCTCCCAGGGATAACCTCTGCCTCCAGCTTGTTGAGACCTTGGAGGTCTCTGGACACCCCCTGCCAGGAGCCACTCTTCTGTTCAGTTGGAACAGCTTGTCAGCATCTTGTCACTTCTCAGTCCTTCCCACCCGTGCTCCAGGAAGCTGTGTTTGCCATGCACTTTGAACTTAAAACCCTGACTTTTTGGATTAAAAACTGAGAACTGGACAAAGTGACGTTTTCAAGTTCACACAGCTTGTCAGAGCCTGAGACCCTCCACTACTCCTGTGCTGGGGCTTGTGAGCCTCCAGACTCACCCCTGCCTCAGCTAACAAGCCTGTCTGGATCACCTGCCACTGCCCACTTGCCTCTTCCTTGTCTCCACTTCAGCTGTTTTGTGGGAGGGAGGTCACCTTGACACAGGCGCTCTGGAATGGGGACGGACCTTGTTAAGTTCCTTTCTAGCCTCTACCTACCAGACTTCTCACCTTCTCTTCCTGGGTGGTAGGTCTGCAGGCAGGAACTGCCCGCCCCCACGTACACAAAACACACACACACACACACACACACACACACACACCCCTCCCTCTTTTCCCTACCTACTTTTCCTCTGGTCCTTTCTCAACCATTTCTTCCCACTTGCCAACTCATATAACACATAGCCTCTGGCTTCTGAGGCTTCCAGGAAGGTAGGAGGTGGATGAGTTCATGGTGGGCTTTCAGAAGAGAAGGAAAGAGAGGGAATAGGGCACCCAGGACACTGGGCACAGGACCCCACACCCAGGAAAGGATGCAGAGATAAGCATCACCCAATGACAATGCCCAGTGGCTAGAGTAACAATCCATGGCCTGGCCAGTGTGGCTCTATTCAGACAGCCTCCAGGCCGTCCTCCCAGCATCCCCACGGTCACCCAGCTCTGTAAGACTTCTCCTTTTGAGAAGGAACATCTGTGAACTCTGAGTACTTCAGCTGCCCTGGCTCCTGGCAGCCCCTTCGGTCTCCTCCTAGGCTGCTATGTGTACCTTGCTAATTCTCATGGGACCAGCTGGTGAGAAAAATAGGAGGTCTAAAAGAGGGATTTTTAGAAACCCTGCTGCCGCTGCTGGATGCTATGACAGGAGGTCCAGGCTCCTGCTGTGGGGCCGGTATGGCGCTCTTTCCTGCCACCTGGTGGCAAGAGCAAAGCAACACCCCCTTTTGTTTTTGTCAGTACAGCTTGGAGAGCATCCTTAGAAATCAAGCCAGGTGCCTCCTTGGCACTCATCTGCCGCCTGGACCATGGAAGGTAAACTGTCTGTGTGGACACCCCCTCCTAAGAACTGTGTTCTTGGCCCCTCTTTTGCCTTCACCTTCTTGGGCACCTCTCGGGCTCTCTCTGACTCTCGCTTGCCCCCCCACCCCCCAATTCCAAGGGACTGGCTGCCTTTGCCTCTATTGCTCCATGCTCGCACATGTCTAGCCCCCTGGTGACCAAATCCACACGGCTTCCTTGTTGATTTAGCTGCTCGATGAAGTAACAAGGGCCGATTGGATCTGACAGGGGTGAGAAGCTTCTTAACTACCCATGGAGAAAGGTCAGGAAGGACCCATGTGCTTGGGAAACAAATACAATCGGCAGGAACCTTGCCTGGCGGGTCATGTCGGACGGAGGTGGGCTGATGCTCTAGGTCCGGCATCTGGATTCCAGCCCTTGTGATAAGTGGGGTTATCTCTCTCATCTGGTCTGAGGAGCCCGTGTGTAGGTTAGATAGGTAAGCACAGAATTGCCATAGACAGACAGGATGCCAAAGCCCAAGCCGTCCATGGCCAGGTCCATCTGTAGGATCAGCATCCAGTCCCATTGCTGTGACAAGAATCTGCCAGGACTGACAGACACAGGACTGACAGACACAGGCTCGCTCTGTCTGTCTCAGCGGCATGAGGACAGAAGCAGTATTAGAACCCAAGGCCTGACCCTGAGGCCAAACCCTATAAACACCCCTCTTCCCCGGGGCAGACCTGATCTGGCAGGATATCCACTCATGGGAGTAAACAAAGGGGCCTCACTTTATCCTGGCTGGGTCAGGCCTCTAATGCAGAGGTGGCATTTGTTCTGCTGTGGAGAGAAGCGTCTCAGGGACACAGGAGCTGGCAGGACAGGCTGGGCAGCCATCCATCAGGGGATCTGAGTTCTCTGCCTTATTGTAGCTTCAACTTGATTCTTTTGGGCTTTTCACACAGACAGTTGGGCTGTCTGAATTAACCATCATGTTTCCCCAATCACCGCTCCTTATTTCTTCTCCTGGTTTCCCATCACCCAGTGACCAGAAGTGGTGGCAGGCAGAATCCTTGCCTCCTTCCCAGTTTTGACAAAAATCTTAACATTTCACCACTAAGTGAGATTGTTGATGCAGATGTTTGATAGATGTCATGTATTAAGTGATGATGCTTCACTAGTTCCAAGTCTGTTCTATTTAAGATTAATAATAAGTGTTGAGCTGGGTGTGGGGGTCCAGCAATTAGGATGTTGAGGCAGGAGGACCATGAATTCAAAGCCAGTGGGGCTGCGTGGTGAGAACCTGTCTCAAAAATCAAAAAACTAAAACAAAACGAAAAGAATAATGTTGAGTTTAACTTACTTCCTTTCTGCATCTGTTAGGCTGACCACACTGTGTTGTTCTTTTACTCTGGTGATGGGCTGAAGTAGACAGATTTTTCTTTTTATTTATTTTGCATTCTGACTACAGTCTCCCCTCCCTCCTCTCCTCCCAGCCCCCCCCCCCCCTCAAATAGATTTTTCTAATACTGAGCCAACTTCTTATTCTTGGAACAAACCCAGTTTGGTTATGGTATGCCGTGTTTTTGGTCACACTATTGCCATGTTCAGTCTGTTAATATTTTGTGTATAATTTTTGTACGTAGCTCCTAAGACTAGATTGGCTTCTGTACTCTCCTCTCCAAATTGTCCTTACCAGAGGTGAAGAGAAGGGTCTTTTTGTATTTAAAGTTATGTTGAGTTTGTAAATGAGGCTAGAACTAGTTCTGTCTTTTCTGAAGGAGTTCATGTGAGATTAGCATTCTCTGTTCCTTGAGTGTACATAGAATGTAGTCCATCACCTGATCCAGATGTAGAGCTTTGGGGAGTGTGTATTCAGACTTTAAAAAAATGACCTGTCACTGTCACATACCTCAAAATTACTTTTTCCTCCCTCTTGCCTTAGGTTTTTTCAAAAACAAACTCTGGCAAGTTTTATTAAAGGGAAAGTTCTTCTCTACTCTCCTGTAGTCTGTGCTGGCACGTTTCTAATAACATCAGAAGGCCCCAGATCAATGGCAGCCAGCATGTACATGCTGTGGTATTTTCTGCGTGTTGTGGCCAAGTCAATGTTATTGCCACTGTGTCGATGGGCAAAGGCTTTGGCCAACCTCTTGTGGAATCCTGTTTTCAGCTTTCCTCAAAGCTGGGCAGTTGGAGAGAATGAACCATTGTGCTTTGCCCTCTCCGATCACCTTCAGAGTCAGCTTGTGGCCCAGCATGCATGTTGTACTTTCTATAAGTTGGGGCCTAGAGCTGATCATCTCCAGAGACATTTTGCTTTCTTTGTGGCCGCCATCTTTCTGCCTCAGGTGTCCAATGGCCTTCGGTCAAAATGGCTGGGTGGGAGGAAAAACCTGTTTTTTTTTTGTTTTTGTTTTTGTTTTTTGTTTTTTTGAGAAATTATCTTACTATGTAGCCTGAGCTGTCCTCGAACTCACAAATCTCATGCTTCAGCCTTCCAAGAGATACTAGGATTGGAGGCATGCCTGGCTCTATTTGGTCGAATGTTTTGGCGAGACATTGTGATAGCCGTGGGTTTACAGTTTCTTTGTAGTGTTTGGTTACAAGGGACCTGGGCAGTGCTTGTAGCTCTGACTTTAGTACTCACTCGCTGGCTCGGTCATGATCTGCCTTAGAAGCTTGTCAGCTTTCTTGGTCATCCAGTGAGCTTCCAGTTCTATTATTCTTTCTATTGCGTACAGATTTTCTATTTCATCTCTGCTCTGTCTTTCTTATTTCTTTCCTTCTGTTTATTTTGGATGATTCTGTTGTTCTTTCTCCCACTCCTGAAGCTAGATGTCTTGGTATCCACAAAAAGAACAGCTAACCTAGTTAGTTGGAGTAGATAGCCCCAAGGATCCTGCATCCCTGTGAAGGGGGCTGAGGCTCTCCCACCCCAGTCTTCTATGCCCCAAGGGCAAGTTCTGCACAGCCCAGATGTCTTGAAGGGAAAGGGGCTGAGGGTCTCCTACTCCTGTCTTCTATGCCCCAAGGGCAAGTTCTGCACAGCCCAGATGTCTTGAAGGGAAAGGGGATGAAGCTCTTAGGAAAGGGAGCAAGGCAGGTCTGCCTAGGGGGCTTGAATCACAGGGGGAATGTCAGGTCTCCAGCCTTCCCTGCAGCTAGCCCTGGTTTTCCCAGAGTCTAGCGTGGGGCTGAGGTCACTTTGTCCTGAGGTCGTGAGAGCAGGGTGCCCTGGGTTGCTAGGGGCTAGCTGGTTCTCTAGGGAGCAAAGCACACAGACCTGTTGGAGGGGAGTGGGGGATGGGAGTAGGGGTGGGAAGAGTTTCCATTCTTCCTGCCCATCTCTGCCTGTATCCTCTGGCCTAATCCAGGATGGAGTTTTCCCGCTGGGACTAGTTCTGGACCTGCCCTCCTCCCATCCCTGATAATTTTTTTTTTTTTTTTTTTTTTTTTTTTTTTTTTTTTTTGGTTTTTCGAGACAGGGTTTCTCTGTGTAGCTTTGCGCCTTTCCTGGAACTCACTTGGTAGTCCAGGCTGGCCTCGAACTCACAGAGATCCGCCTGGCTCTGCCTCCCGAGTGCTGGGATTAAAGGCGTGCGCCACCACTGCCCGGCCCATCCCTGATAATTTAACCTCCTTGCTTCCCAGGGCGGGGGGGGGGGGGGCGCTAGTTCTAGGCCTGGTCGCCTACCTTGGAAGAACAGGGCAATGGTAAAGAACATGGCCATGCTTTGGCTCCTGGGCTCTGGTGGGCCTCAGTCCTCTCAGAGAACAGCTTGGAGAGATGTGGAATGGACCTTGCTTCAGATAGTCATGTGTGTGCCCTGGGATGGGCTGTTCTCACAGTGTCCCCTCTCTCCTCATCCACAGCTAGAACCTCATCTGCCATATGAGCCAGTGGGTCAGAGGAAGGAGTTGGTGGGTGGTGGATGAAAGGACTCAGTGAACACAGGACTTGGCAGACTGATTAGCCAGAGAGAATGGCCGTGGTCATCTGAGTGTCAGAGCGCTGGGGAGACAGAGCAGAGCTGCTTTCCTGAGGAAACTCTCTCATCAGGTGTCAGAGTCATGCAAACGCATCCGGCTCTGGCT